GTTAATAATAATATTTCGATATTGTTGATTCAATCATAATGTAGGTATCCAAGGCCATACCTACGAGGTTAGAGGATGTACGGTAATGTACGTTTAAACGTAAATTATATATAAGTATAATAACTTTACAGTGTATGCCAGTGGTTTTCAAACTGACAGGCGCCAAGTATAATTTGGGAAACGCTAAAATCATAAAATGCTTGAAAGGGTAACCATAAAAAAAATTAAAGTGAAGTATTCGCGATTTTTTGTATATGGTTGATAACCGCTGGTGTATACAAAAAATTAAATCAATTTAAATATAATATATTAATAATTGCAAATAGGTAATATTATTAATTCATAAAATTTTTTTTCGAAAGAACTATAATTACTAATAAGTATAAGTATTATATTTCTACTTGATTATACATTTTATATGTGTAATGTTATTAGCACGTATTTGCATTATAGAACTTATTGGTTTATATGATTTTACAATGTTCTGTGATGCACTAGATAAACTTGTATACTTAGGTAATCAGGTAACCTAGATGACCTAGTTAGTATTGTCAAACATACTGAATATAGTACAGTAAAAAGGTGAAAAAGTATGGAATCTTATATTTACGAGCTGTTTATATTTACATCCGATTTGGATAATGCAAGCATAGAAGCAGAAGAAGACTAAATGCGTCCAAGGGAAGCGGCTTATTTATAATAATATATATTATCACCTTTGACTTCTATATCTTTGGTAACGACGGCCTGTTGCGATAGCACGCACTTAATTTCTCTTTTTTCGTATTCACATTTTACTTCCAAAGCAGTTGAGTTGGAATTGTGGCGTGCTACGGCTCGCAAGGTTGAGGCAAGAGACTGGTTTAGAGTGGCTGAATAACTCATATAACCTTCTCTGTATCCCAACATTCCTTCATAACCTTTAAGCACCATAGGTATTGGGGACTTTTGTCCGGCTATAAACGTGCACTGACCACCTATTACAGAGGAGCTAAATATCTGCTTCGTAAAGTTAATATTTAACTCATTTGATGTGTCTGTCGCCTTGTTGGCCAACACCTGCACGTTTAAGTTGTCGTTGGCTAATTCAATGGATCCAGAAATCTTGCTCTTCGTCCAATTGTCAAGGACATTGCCACTGATCTGTCCCCACAAGTTGCCGAACACGTTATGGCATAATTTATATGAAATGTCATTATTCAAGTTCGTTTCCAAGTAGGTACAAAATGTTGGTTTGGAGACAGTATTAATACCATTACTAAAGAATGCCAGTAAACAATTATTTAAAACAAATTTATAGTGTTGTGTGTGAATTAGCTAAGATGAATATTCTAACTAATCGTTGAAAAAAATTGTTTTTTTAATTTTTGACTCTTATGACTATTTAGCTAGTTTTAATAGTATTTCTTAGATTGTTTGTAGTATTGCACAATATAGCTGAATTTG